GAAGTTCATTAGTCAAAGGTATCAAACTATAACTTTCTCTAGGCAACCCCCTTCTCCCATTTCCTCACATGCTCCTTAAGAACTTAAAGCCACGTGGCATGTTTTAAAGTAGACAACGGCTTGGTATAATTTTGCCTTTAATGATTATATGCCTCACTTAATTATTACAAGTACTGAAATAAAATATAGGATTTGTTTATCAAAGTCTTTGATATGGTCGTTTGATGTCTAATTTCGAGGGTACTGTTATTATTGTGTTGACATTGTTTCCTTGAGATTTGCAATACACCAACGAGTACTAAAAAAATGTTGGATTTCAAATTAGAAACTTGGATATTGTAACGGTCAGGTGATGTTAATTAGTAGAGATTTGTGTCAAATCAACATCTACAGGAAGCATAGTTTTAAATGTCATATGATAGAAAAAAAAAAAAAATCCAATCCTTATTTATTATAATATTAAAATAACGATAACAAAAATACTTTAAAATTATTATGCAACAATTATTATATAACATAACGAAGAAAAACTACGATATAATTCACAAATTTAACAAATGACTTCTAAGGTTGGTTTCTAACTTTCATAGGTTGAGTTTATGTTTCTTTTCGGTCTAATACATTTTGGACTCATATTAGCTCATTTTACTTACCATGAACATTTTAGCATATAGAGAGAATGGGTCATTTTAGTACGAAAAATTTAATAATACTTAAATGGTAACGAATATAAGTTACTCAATAAAAAGAGATATCTACAAAGAGGAGAGAGAAATGAAAGAGAGAAAATTAAAAAAAAATTGAGCTAAGGTGAAAATTCTTTTATTATTTTTTAATGGATTTAAATGTGATTCTTTGTTAAAAAATAGACTCATAAAATAACTACTCGTAAATATATATTAATTACTCCTTAATTATTATAAAATTTCTTATTTTAGTGCGATCGGTTTCTTATATACTTGTATGGCGAGCCTTCTTAATGGAGCAAATTATAAATTAGTCTCTCTAATTTTGAGAAACTAATTATTAGGCCTTTTTACATAGGGGTGTTCACTATTCGGTGAAAACTGAATAATCAAACGTAACGACACCGAAATATCAATTTTGGTGCGATTTTTTTTTTAGAAACTAAAAAAAAAAAACCAAACCGAAATATAGCCGATTTTCGATTTCGGTTTTTTTTTTTTAATTCGGTTAAAACCAAATAACCGAAATTATTAATTTTTTTTTAAAAAAATTCATCGATGAACGACGTCGTTCATTCCAATCCTCACATCCTCACCTCACCCTCATGCAAACCTAAGCCAATTGGAGTTAAATCAATTAACCCATAACCAATTCTTGTTGCATTGATTATATGAGCCAACCGGCCCAACGCCAAATGACCATAACTAATTCTTGTTTATAATTGCCTAAGGAGGTACATAAGTTCTTTCTTGATTCAATTTATAGTTTTAAAAAAAATGTGAGATAGTGTTTTTTTTTTAATGTGAAAGAAAACTAGTTAAGTTATGGACCACGATAATAATTAGTATATCTCTTTTTAGTAAACACATATAATTTAAAATTACGCTAAAGAAAGTTGAGTGTTTAAAGTTTTAATGTTCTTCACTTGTTCAAAAACAATATTGCCATTTAATTAGCGAAGTTAGCTTATGGTTGTACTCGTTTAACAAGTTACCCAAAATTATTAGTTCTAATTATGTCAAGTTAATTAAAAATATCGTTCATAAAGACAAATAAGTCGGTTATATTTGAGCTTCAAAGCATGCTCGTTTCTTTTTAGAATGAATCGTTAAAATGTCTTAATTGTAACACATATTTGGTGGTATTATCTACTTATACCGATAGACAATAACATATATTATATATTATTAGATTTTATATGATAATGATGACATCTCGTATTATATATATATATATATATATATATATATATATATATCAATTGATATTATATTAGTAATGACTATTGAGGAGTAGTAAAATAATAGTAAATAGACAGAGTTCAATGAGATTGAAAAACGTATACATATAGGAACATAGCCTAAAAATCATAATGCAAATACTAAATTTATTTTTTTTGAAAGTGCATGATCCTTTCAAAAATCAAAAGTCTTTCAAAAATCAAAAGTATAGATAATTAAAGATGAAAACCGAATTAAAAAACCGATATATTTCAAAACCGAACCAAAAAATCGAATAATAATTCGGTTCGATTTCGATTATTTTTTTAGACAATTCGATTAATCGAAAACTCGATCAAAAAAGTTCGAAACCGAATCGAATTATCGAACGAACACTCCTATTTTTTCATCCAAAAACTCTTGATTTCATTGTTGGCTTCACAACCTTTCTTAATTTGTTGGGCCCGAGCCAGATGTTGTTGAGTAAATTATCTTACTCCCCCTTTTACTTCTCTCTTTCGCCACATTTCAGAAGTTCATTAGTCAAATGTGTCAAATTATAACTTCCTCCAGGCAACCTCTTTTTCCCATTTCCTCACATGCTCCTTAAGAACTTAAAGCCACGTGGCATGTTTTAAAGCAAACAACGGCTTGGTATAATTTTGCCTTTAATGATTATAAGTCTCACTTAATTATTACAAGTACTAAAATAAAACATAGGATTTGTTTATCAAAGTCTCTGATATGGTTGTTTGATGTCTAGTTTCGAGGGTACTGTTGTTATTATTATGTTGACATTGTTTCCTTGAGATTTGCAATACACCAACGAGCATTAAAAAACATTGAATTTCAGATCCAAAACTTAGATATTGTTAATGTTCACATGATGTTAATTAGTAGAGATTTGTGTCAAACTGACACCTTTATACAGCATAATTTTAAATTATAAATATTAAAAAAAATTATGATGTTAATATTAAAAAAAAATTATGATGTTCATCACAAATCACGACTTATCATAATATTAAAATAACGATAAAAAAATATTTTAAAACTTTATATAATAATTATTATATAATGTAACGATTGTTATTTAAAACTATATTATACTTTACAAGTTTAGCGCATGATTTCTGAGCTTGGTTTCTAACTTTCATGAGTTGGATTCATGTTTCTTTTCAATCTAATGCATTTTGAACTCATATTATGTAATTTTACTTGCCACGGGCATTTTAATACATAGGAAAAAATGGGCATTTTAGTGCAACCCGTTCCTTATATATTAGTTCGGCGTGCCTTCTAAATAAAGTAAATTATAAACTAATCCCTCTAATTATGAGAAACGAATTATTAATCTTTTTTAGATCCAAAAGCCTTTGATTTCATTGTTTGCTTCACAAACCTTTTTAATTTGTTGGGCCCGAGCCAGATGTTGTTGAGTGTTCAGTCTCGATTGTGTTTGGGCCTAGCAACTTTGTTCGGCCAACTCTCTTAATTTGTTGGACTACTCAGGCCTGATCAAATTTTGAGCATAACATTAGCGAAATAACAATTTTGTAATTTATTGTTGTGTTATTTGGACTAAAATTACTATCAAAGACATAAATTCAATATGTTTATTAAGAACATAAAATAATTCACTTAAAACAATATAAAAATACATGCATTGATAAAATTAAAAGTCGACATCATAAAAAAAAAGATTCAAAATATAACATATAACATTTTTTAACCATTAGTATGAACACTATATATTAAGATAAAATATGCACGCTTTGTATTTTTATGATTTAATTTTTTTAATGTTATTTTTATCTTTTAAATAAAACAAACAACAACCTTTTATCTCAAAAAGTATCCGTTTTCATGCTTTTTTTTTTTTTTTTAAAAAAAATGGAAGCTAATTTACATTTGAACTTAATCACTTTTATAAAAATTATCTTTCACTCCCAAAAGGTTAAGCAACTAAGTTTAAAAATTCTTATCAGGTTATATATATATCCTTCAAATTTCAAATATTATACTATTCTAACAATCTCTCAAGTGGTTTTAAAATTGTGTTTCTAACTAGTTTGAGGTTTTGTTCTTTTCAATTAGTATATGATGATCTAGAGATTTTTATTTTGCCTGAGGGCTAATTATTTATCAAAAATTTTTTTTTTCACGTGGTGTTAATTTTTCTTTATGCTGTTAAAAATAATAAATTCTTTTTTTTTTTTTCACTTAAATCTATCCTTATTTATCAAAATAAATAAATTTGAACAATAATAAATTGTCACTTGGTGTTAAAATCTTTTTTTTTTCATGTTGATTTTTATTATTCTTATTATTTGTTTATTATTTGTACATTTGAGTTTCTCGTGTGAGGACATCTTTGTCATTTTAGATGATAGTTTCTAACAAAAGAATAGATTGGAAAATGAGCTTATATTTGACAATAAATTGGAAGCTATTATTGTAGGAAAAAATTGGACCCTACGTTTAAAATATAATGACAAATTAAGCTAATTATCCTAAACAATTATATATATAAAAAAAAGGTTTCAAAAATAAAGAAAACAGATTAAAAAAAGGTGTTGATATTTTAAAATTTTCATAAATATAGTAGAAAATGCCATATTTTACTAGCACACGTTCATTGCTTTTACCGTTTGTGGGATAAATAAGTTTTGAAAAGAGAGAGAAGAATATTATTGACTGTTTAGCTCAGAATGAAGGCACACATTCGAACGAGTATGCGAACATCGATGTACTTCAACAACTGTGCTCTTTTTCCTAAAATATTATACTATATTCTGGTATTAAATCAGCAAGTTTATATTTGGGAACTTTGCCGGAATGACAAGTTCAATGTTAAAACAATTTTATCGGTAAAATATGCACTTAATGCTGCAAGTTTTTCGATCGGGAACAAGAAAAAGATCTGGATAATTAATTGTGGTTGATTTCCATTGTTGGTCACAGAACTGAAATGATAAGTTACAGAAAAAAATTTTGCACTGTTTTTTCTGTAACTTTATTTCTCAAAGAGTAACATAAAACTGAGTTTGGCCGATGCAAAGGCTAGTGACCATTTCCCATGTTGCATCCTAGTTACAAGGGTTCTTGAATTATCCACCTTTTAAACATGGCAAAACATTCTGCAGGCTTGTACTCTGGAGCCGTGTGCCCTCCACCCTGCAAATTAGCCAAACAATGAAGTACAAAGTAATTTCAATTAATTGAATCCAATAATCTATACATATATATAAACATCCGTGTAACAAAAATGGAGAAATTCGGAATTCTTTACCATCACAGTGGCAAATGTCAATTGATTAGAGTAAGTCCTCGTGTATCTGCGAGCTCAAGTCAAATATCCAAATCAGTCATTTTCTTTATCTAACAGGCTCTTTTCAGCTACAGGCAAGAGCTAGAAAAGAGTACTTGCAGAATATTAGCAAATTAATCAAAACTAATATTTATGTGAAGGACATACCCTGCAACTTGACCGTGAGAGTGCCATGGGCGCCAGTCATCAACAATAGAGTAGTTTAACGACCTTATCCATGCTTGAGTTCCCAAGAATGGTATCACCATGTCATGATCGCCACTAATCAATTAAATGATATATCAACCTCAGGGGAAAAAAATACTACAGTGTCAATGTCAATTAATTAACAGAAAAAATACATTGATTTACCTGTATATTAATCTGCGATAACCTATTATCCCAAGGTCTATATGATACTTAATGCTGCTATGAATTTCACGAGTGTAATTAAAATTGCATCGTTGCCACTCCCCTATACTTCCCTGCATCAGAACAGTGTTGCATATGATCTCTTGCTAGCTGCTTGCTTTTTAAAATTGATCTTACCACTCTCCATTCCATACCTCTTGCACATGGAGTGCTTTCCGGACATCATCGTCATTTGCCCAATATGTAGCGAGGAGTTCTTTATAACTCTATATAAAGGCATAAAGGAAGATTTTCAAACACCGGAAAGGACCAGAAAACAACTTTGCATAAATTCATTAGAAAAAAAGGGTTATTCTGTCACCATTTTATATCATAAGTTATATAACATTGTGATGTTGTGGCCTATTATCCCAAGGAAGAGAAAAGGGAATTACGCGGCATTCGATAGTAGGAAGATTTGGTTCAAAATGGAGGAATTCTTGAGAGTTCTCATTGAGATATCTTCTTTTTATCGGGCGTGGGGGAACAGAAGGACAACTGCGATCCAAAATATATACTTCGTCTATTTCTGAAATGCACTGAGAAAGCAAATGGACACTACATACATTAATGCCTTTGAAAAAAAAATGAAAAAATTCGATTATCTATATATGAGTTCCAAGGAAAAACCATGAAGGGGATTCACAAAATATATGTTATGGTTGAGTACCTTATCAAAAGCCTCTACATTTTCGAACACTCTGCATCGCTCGGGTTTATCATGCGATATTCTCCTCCACAACTTTTCTTCAGTGACTGGTCAAACAATTTGTGACACTAGTTAGGCATAACTCCAAGCCAGTAAGTAAGACATAAAACAAAATGGATCACCTCATAGAGCTCATCAGAAATAAGTCCCATTCCATGAGCAAATGGAACCTTTGAGTTATCATCAAAAGTAGGATCAGTAACAGGGTTCCCTAGCATGTATCCCTGCAACCGTACAAATTAAACCACTGCTTCATCAGCAAATTTTAGAAGGAAGCTTGGGAAATAAATTCTTTTTTTCTTTTTTTTTTCCCTAGCAAAGAGGCATTTTTGTTTAAAAAATCCCAAGATCCAATGATCCTGAAGTTATGTAGAAAGCGCATCTGTATCATGTCCCAAATCACCTTGAACTCGCCATTGACATTGGACAGAAGACCTCCAAATTAGAATCTCATATTTTCATCAGTAACCTATATATTTTACGAGGGACAACTACAACACATTTGAGCCATGTCGAAAGGGTGACACATTAGACTAGATTGATAAATTAATGTACATTGAGAACCTGAAAAAAAACGATCATCTTACCTAATTTATTTATTCTATAGTGCCAAAAAAAAAAAAAAAAAAATTTGGTATCAATTTAGGTTAGGTTAGCTAATTAAATAAAGCATAAAAAATTATTAAACCTAAAAAAAATGAAAATAGTTAGTTTCTTCATTTTATGCTTTATTTAATATATTCAAAAATATTACAAATTATTAGGTTCGGTTTAATATTTTTTCATGCTTTATTTTATTAGTTAATGTAACCTATAATGTTCAATTCCTTCATTCCATACTTTGTTTTATTAGTTAAGCTCAATTTATTGTAGAAAAGTTAATGGTATCAAATTCATATAGTAGAAAAGTATTTGATTGTTTTAGCCAGACTATATGTTCGCATCTAATTTGTTAAGAATTGATTAACTAACGACATCAATCAAAGTAATTAACTTTAGTAACGGAGGGACTAAAAGGTATTAAAAGTTTTTTAAAAGTTGGCATGACTCAAAATTAAAAAAGGAGGATTCAATTTCTTTAAAAGTTAAAAATATAATAACACGAAGTGATTTTTTTTTAACCTAAATTAAAAAATATGGAATATATAATTAATTAGTACCTTGAGATTTATCAGTGGTTTCATATCCTCGTTGTTCCCTGCAATTGAACAGCTACACTTTCAGAAAATTTTTTTAAACAAGTTAAAAAAAATGTACGTGCTCTGTGCGTTGACAACTTGACATAAGGAGTAAAAAAATAAATAAATAAAGAGCAACATATGCAAGCTGTCCCTTTCGATATCGTAATGGTCAAATTGTTATGATACCATTAGAAATCTTTTGAACTATCGCTGGAACGGTCAGGCCAGAGTAAGAGTCACCGGCAATGTAGACTGGATTTGAGAGGAATTCTTGATGATGCATTAGCCACTATATAAAGCAATGAATAAGGAACCAAATCAAGAGCAAAAATGAATTAAATCAATTTACATATTCTACCTATCCACAGTAGAACGGACTAGAAAGCTGTACCTTTCGAAGAAATTGATCAGCTTGCGAAACTTGCTTGAAGTCTCTTCTCTGAAAAGCAAGTGGGTTTCTTGCATAGGAGAATCCAGTGCCAGCAGGCAAATCTACAAGTATTATGTTGGCAACCTGAAAATTATTCACCAGCTCAGCCATATATAAGATTGTAAAAAAATGGTCTTTCTAATCTAATAATTCTTGTTCAGTACAAAAAGCATTATCACCTGTGTCCATGAATGTGGATTCAAGACCAATGCAGGTAAGCTCCCATTGTACTCCTTTTCCTCGAATCTGATTGGACCTATGCATATATATAGTATCAGAAATATATATGTGTGCGTCCGTTTCAATTACTGTACGTAATTGAGTTAGCTGCAGTCGCTTCTCTTACCAATTTCAAAAGCAAGAGCAGACAAGGAAGAACAACCAGGGCCACCAGTTAGCCAAAGCAAAAGAGGGTCCTCTTTAGGATTCCCCTGAGACTTGATGAAGTAGTAGAAGAGCTGCACATCCTGTGCTTCATCCACGCCGACATATCTGATATTGATTTGATCAAAATCACATTAACTTGTGTAATTTTAAGCATGCATGTGCAGTAGTGAAATCTGAAGACAGTATAACTGAAGGTCCGAAGCTCACGCGGTTTCAAGGTGGAAGGGAAGTGGCCCCTGAAACCCAGGAAGAAACTTAACAATTGAGTGGGAGACAGCAAGTTGTAACCAAAGCTGTAATAACAAAAGAAAAGGAAGGCATCGTTTGGCCATTGATTTCGATGGAGATATTGTTTGCTTGAGGTGTACCATTGAATTATGTACCTTACTTATACCAGATAACGAATTAAAATACAGGTTTTCTAGATCAGCAATATCTGTTGTCTAATTATTTATATTTCCTCGAGGTATGCATGGTGCCTACTACTGTGCTGTTTTCTTACGATGCCTTTCCTCTTTTAAATGCCATCATTAATTTCAATTCTGATCTTTATCATTTAAAATAGAATAAGTTATTATAATGACACGAAAACCTTTTTTAATTCCACAAGTTTCTCATGTCTCATTATTAAATATGTTAAAGTGTCTACAGTCGTATGTATTTAATATCCTTCCACAATTTTTATAACACTTTTGCCGGTTGAAACTTTAACTCATTTTTTGCTAATTTACAGATCTTACAAAAGAAATTGATTAATATTTGTATTCTTTTAAATATATGTTCTAGAAAAAGTATTTTAATTGGCTTTTAATCGATTACGCTTTCTATTTTGATTTTTTTTTATTAAATTAACCCATCTAATAAATTAGAATAAATGCTCCATATTTTATAGGTTCCATATTTTTCGATTTTATTCTCCGGCTGGAAATATATTTACTTTGTCTATTTCATGACTATAAAATTTATGAAAAACAAGGACTAAAATATGGGTGTTATTATTATGTTGACCTTGTTTCCTTGAGATTCGCAATACACCACCAAATCCTATAATATCGTATGTCAGATCAGAAACTTTGATATTGTTAATTAGTAAAGATTTGTGTCAAACCGACACCTCTATGGACTACATAATTCACAGGTTTCTAACTTTCATGGGTTGAGTTTACGTTTCTTTTCAGTCTAAGACATTTTGGACTCATATTAGCCCATTCTGCGTGTCCTGAGTACGTTCGTATATGGGGATAACGGGCTATTTAGTGCCACCCGTTCCTTTATATGCTTGTTCGGTGTGCCTTGTAAGGTGGACTGGTATGAGGATATGGGACTGACTCATCAGATTATAGCTTCAATTTATTTTTCAAAACGTTCTGTCATTTTTTTTTTTTTTTTTAAAGTTCTAGGCATGGGCTAAAAAAAAAGAAGAAAAAGAAAAGGAAAAATATATATACAAAATCTTCATTAAGGGACATAATTGCATCAAAATAAAATGTAATAGAAATATTCAAAGGCATAATTGAGTCAATTAAGAAATTCAATACTTGAATTACTATTCATAGGGACCAAATTGAGAAAAATTATTCTTTACATGACTGAAATTGCATAAAAATAGGCATGATTGCAAATAATTAAGATTCGCAGGGACCAAAGTAGAAGCTTGGAGCGAAAGACAAGACTCGAAATTGATAGAATGACATGTCGTTCACTCCAGCCTAGAGTTTCACTCTTGATTCCCTCCAAAATTTGATTGAAATTTATCTCAATCCTCTAACTATTTTTTGGATTTCCTCGAATTCAATCTACCTCGATTATTTAGCTAATCAAATTTGAAATCAATAATAGAAGTTTGAGTTCAAGTTGGATAGCTAAAAATTTGACTTTAAAGGTGTTTGAGTTGGAGTGAAATTCGAATGGGAGTGCCTATAAAAGAGGTAAGAATTCGAGGTTTATAAAAGAAAAAAAAAGTTGTATTTTGAGAGAAAAAAGGGCGAGAAAAATAAAGAGGGAGAATTCTAGTTTGAGAAAAAAAATCGAAAGATTTTTGGGGCAAATATTGGCTGCATTTTTTGGGTTTTTTGATTGATGTATAGATAATATATTCTCCATAAATAACATGCAAGGACAAATAAATGTTACTTCAATAAGCCGAAATAACGTTTTTGCATTATCCCGAAGAATATTGATTGTTTAGTCATGGTTCTTTTTTTTTTTTTTTGGTTATGGATAAATAAATAAAGTGTTTCTCTTTATGTAATTTAATTACATAAAATAAAATAAATTTGATAGAAGCAATAGTTAATCATTAAAAAATGATGTTTCTACAAAATGAGCATCTTGGCACTCAAAAAAATGCTTTGACAACGAAAATAAAAATGTTCATTTCTTTCAAAATAATTGCATCGATCATGTTTGGCCTAAATTTGATGAGAATTTGATTGCAATGGATGAAGAGAAATTTGAGAATGAAGATGTGAATGAGTTTACCAAGCTAGTAGAATTTTGAGAGTAGTCAATAAAACCTCATCAAGAGGAGTTAGAAAAGGTAAATGTAGTGATAGAAGAGAACGTAAAAGAGTCGCTAATCGAGACTATGATTTCAAAAGAGGAAAGAAAGAATTTAATTGCCTTACTATGTGAATATGCATATGTGTTTGCATGGTCATACGAGGATATGCTCGGGTTAGATACCGATATAGTGGTACACAAAGTTCCATTATTACTTGATGATAAACCAGATGAAGCAAAGTTTAAGAAGAATGAGACCATATATCCTTATGAAGGTCAAAGAAGAAGTAATCAAATAGTTTAAGGCGGGGTTTCTCAAGATGATTAAGTATTAAACTTGCGTGTCGAACATCGTAGTAGTTGGCAAGAAAAATAGAAAGATCAAAATGTGTGTTGATTTTCGAAACTTAAACAAAACCAAATTCTAAAGACGATTTTCCCTTATCGCACATTGACATATTGGTAGACAATGCTACAAAGAACTCTACGTATTCCTTTATGGACGGTTTCTCGGGATATAACCAGATTAAGATAGTAGAGGAAGATATAGAGAAGACTACCTTCATCACACCATGGAGGACCTACCGTTACAAACTCATGCGTTTGGTCCGAAGAATGCTAGGGCAACTTATCATCGGGCCATGGTCACCCTATTTCATAACATAATGCATAAAGAAATTGAAGTGTATGTAGATGATATGATCGCCAAGACGAAGCCTAAAGAGGATCATGTTCGGACATCGAGGAAAATTTTCAAACGATTAAGAAAATACCAAGTTGAAGTTGAACCCCGTCAAGTGTACATTCGGGGTCAATTCGAAAAAATTACTAAGGTTTGTCGTGAATAACAGAGGAATAGAAGTAGATCCCGATAAAGCTAAAGCCATCGAAGAAATGCCATTGCCCCAAAGTGAGAAGGAAGTTTGAGGTTTTTTGGGTTGATTGAAATATATAGCCCGTTTCATCTCTCAACTCACAGGTGACATGTGAGCCCCTTTTTCGTCCGTTGAGAAAGAATAATCCAGGAACTTAAGATGATGTATGCTAGTCGGCTTTTGATAAGATCAAGCAATATTTATAAAATCCTCCTCTTCTTATCCCATCGATGCCCGGTCAAACTTTAATTTCATATCCGATAGTAACCGAGTTAGCTATGGGCCGTGTTTTAAATCAACATGATGACACTCGGAAGGAAGGAGCAAGCAATCTACTTTTTGAGTAAAAAATTCATAGATCGTGAATCTCGGTATAGTACACTCGGAGAAGATATGTTGTGGTTTGGTATTGAGTGCTCGACGACTTAGGCAATATATGTTATACTACACCACATGGCTAATCTCAAGATAGATCCCCTCAAGTATATCTCCGAGAAGCCATACTTATCAAGTAGAATTGCAAGATGACGGATATTGTTAGCAGAATATGATATTGTATACATGACCATTAGTATGGGATTGACTCATCGATTATAGCTTTAATTTATTTTTTAAAACGTTCTTTCATTCTTTTTTTTTTTTTTTAAGTACTAGGCATGGGTCGTTGTTGGTTGGTAAATTTAGAGAGTACAATTTTTAGAATCGATTCAAAAATACTCTAAAGTAACCCTTAACACTTATCCAAATAAAAATTATATTTAGAATTCATAAATCACTTATGCTATAAGTGATGTTATTGCTTATGGAACTATCATTCAAGTACTTGAATTTTAGAAAAAAACTATAATATATATATATATATATCAACTCGATGTGGATAAAAATTGACATAATTAATACCCAAAGGGATATGACTTAGTCTTAGTTTATAAAATTTGATTCCAAAATACTCTAAAGTCTAATCCTTAAAACCCAACACACACATGTATATTATATAGGCTTCTTTTCTTTTTTCTTTCCTTTCCTTTTTTTTTTTTTTTTTTTTGATTGATGTATAGATAATATATTCTCCATAAATAACATGCAAGGACAAATAAATGTTACTTCAATAAGCCGAAATAACGTTTTTGCAATTATCCCGAAGAATATTGATTGTTTAGTCATGGTTCTGTTTTTTTTTTTTTTTTGGTTATGGATAAATAAATAAAGTGTTTCTCTTTATGTAATTTAATTACATAAAATAAAATAAATTTGACGAAGCAATAGTCACTCATTAAAAAATGATGTTTCTACAAAATGAGCATATTGGCGCTCAAAAAAATGCTTTGACGCCGAAAATAAAAATGTTCATTTTTTTTCAATATCCCTTCACACACTAATGCTTGGATAAATGAATGAAATCACACTTATGGAAGAAAGAACTTCCTATCATTAAGTGATAAGATGCGGGACCATCAATGATATAGAAAGAAGTCGGACATCGTATATGACCCATCTAAAAATCTAATATAATATGGCCTTGAGTGTGAAAGGTAGCATTATCAAAACAAGTTGATAATAATCGGTATCAATTAAGAGCATCTCATTCTCGTAGTTTATTTTCACTATCAAAGACTTAAGAAAAACATATGGCCATACAAAATTGTTAAGAGAGAGTCACAAGGGCATAAGCCTATTGCATGGCTCGGAGAACAAAAAGGACACACCTATGTGCATGTCCATGAAAATGTATCACTTAAAAGAGAAGTGAGGCACATAGGCAAAAGCCCTTATCAACGAGAGGTGCTAAAATTATTGGATGTATTCTGCCACCGTCATATCTCATTGTTTGAGTTTCGGGAACTATTGGATCTTTTGGAACTTAACGATATTTGAGAAATATTTCTCATTACACACTTCTTTAAATTGTGCCCAAGTAAGTTGTGGCACGTCTAGGGTGACTTTCGTCACTCCCATCATATGCATGCATCACTCACTAGCATGAATGTAGCAGAAGCTACTCTATCCATATCCTCCGAGGCCAAATGCTCGAAGATCGTCTCCATCAATTTGAGCCATTCTTCAATAGCCATTGGATCCTACTTGCCTTTAAACTCCTTCGCATTAAATTTCCAAAAGCACTCAACAATGTCCTCTCTTTGTGGTTGTCTAGCTACTTTCAAATTCCGTTGTTGTTATTGTTGTACTTTCATCATCCTTTGTATGTTTTGGATCATATCATGTTGTTGTCTAAGCAGCGTTATGAACTCTTTCCTTCTATCCACAGTATCCCTACTCGGACCCGCTCCACTATTATTATTATTTCTCTTTGGTGGCATCCTCACTAACCATATGTACATAATCACACACCTCATTAGTTTTCTTTTCCTTAGTTACTTAATAACAATTTAGCCATTAACACATTTATATTCATATTTACGTTCACATTCACATTTGAACATCATAGTGCATAACATTTGCATATCATCAAATAATATTCATACAATGATCAATGAACAATTCAAACAACATCCATGCATTTCACATTGATTTAACTAACATTTGTTGCATTATCATAAGGATTTGAAGTAAATAAACTAAGCCAAAGTGCCTAAAACAAGGCTATCAAAGACTTAAGAAAATCATATGGCCATACAAAATTTTTAAGAGAGAGTCACACTCGCCGAAGCTTATTGCATGGCTTAGAGAATAAAAAGGACATGCCCAAGTAAATGTCCATGAAAATGTATCACTTAAAGGAAAAGTGAGGCACATGGGCAATGCCCGAACAATAGATTTTTCGATGAGTCTACAACATGACCCAAGAATAGGCGAGATAAGGGAAAGGCGAAGGTTATATGCGATAATGTCCTAATCCATAACCTTACCGCATATACATTAATAGATTCAGGTCCAATACATTCATTAATTTCATGGTCATTTTTAAAGAGATTTAGTGTGATACCTTAACTATTAGAGATAATATATGAGGTGAATCTTCCATAAAGAGAGTCAATTGAATCCCGACACATGATTAGAAATTGTGAAGTACAAATTGGAGGTAATGTTGTGCATATGGACTTAGTGGTCCTAAGAATTCGGGACCTCGATGTTATTTTTGGCATGGATTGCTTATCCAAGAACGGTGCATCGATTGATTGTATAGTTACAAAGGTAGTTTTTTAAAGGTTGAGAGAGCAACTCTTCGAGTTGCTAACCGAGACTAAAGTAGCAAGTAATAAATATTATCTTGATAATGACGGCTTGGAAGTGAATAAAAGAGGGATGTTTAAGATACTTGGTGAATATGATTAATACCGTTAAGAAGGGGAGCCCAAAATTGGAGGATGTTGAGGTAGTATGGGATTTTCTCGATATTTTTCCCGATTAGTTTATCAAGATTACCCTCTAAAAAAGAAATTGATTTTGAAATTGAGTTAGAACCGAGACCAATACCGATATTTAAGGCCCCATATTGAATAGCTCTAGTAGAATTAGAGTTAAAGACTTAATTATAAGAGCTATTGGATAAATGATATATTCGGCTTAAATGTTCTTTGTGGGGAGCATCGGTATTATTTGTAAAAAAAAAGGAGGGATCATTATGATTTTGCATAGATTACCGAGACTTAAATTAAGTAACCATTAAGAACAAATATTCATTTCTCCACATTGATGATTTGTTTGACCGAGTTAAAAGGAAGTTCGTTATTATCTAAAATTGATTTATGGTCAAGATGTCATCAATTGAAAATTAAAGAAAATGATATTAAGAAAACGATCTTTAGAACTTGATATGGTTATTATAAGTTCCTGGTAATGCCTTTGACCAGTCAAGGATATATTCAGCAATATCTTTTGTCTAATTATTTATATTTCCTTGAGGTGTGCATTGATTTTGATGGAGATATTGTTTGCTTGAGGTGCCTTCAACAGTGCTGTTTTCTTACGATGCCTTTCCTCTTTGAAATGCCATCATTAATTAGATTTCAGATCTTGACCATACAAAATAGAATAAGTTATTATAATGACGCGAAAAGTTTTTTTAATTCAACAAATTTCTTATGTCTCATTATTAAATATGTTAAGTGTCTATAGTCGTATGTATTTAATGTCCCATATAATTTCTCATAAATTCCTTCCACAATTTTACACTTTTGATGGTTGAAATTTTATCTCATTTTTTTGCTAATTTACAGATCTTACAATAGAAATTAGTTGCTATTTGTATTCTTTTAAATATATGTTCTAAAAAATGTATTTTAATTGGCTTTTGATAGATTACGCTTTCTATTTTGATTTTTTATATTAAATTAACCCATCTAATAGTGTTCCATATTTTTCGATTTTATTCTCCGGCCGGAAATATATTTACTTTGTCTATTTCATGACTATAAAATTTATGAAAAACAAGTACTAAAAAATGGGTGCTATTATTATGTTGACATTGTTTCCTTTAGATTCGCAATACACCAACAAGTACTAAAATATTGGATGTGAGATCAGAAACTTTATATTGTTAGGCATGCATTGGACCTCCAAAGTACTAAAAAATATTGGATTTCAGGTCAGAAATTTGATTTTATTAATTGTTATGTGATGTTAATTAATAGAAATTTGTGTCAAACCGACACTTCAATAGTCTACATAATACCAGAAATTTTATAATAAACAAGAATAGTTAGTTGTAGCTTATAAGTTATTCTATCTCTTATAAATTTCAGTTGTCATATCATAAAAATTTCTGATACAAATAAATTTAAAAATAACTTGACATGGACTATTTAAAAAAAGAAAAAAAAAACATGATTAAGGTTTTACAATGACCGCAAAAAATTGAAACCCTGGCTTTCTCTTTTGTAAAAAACCGAAAAGCAATTTGAAGAGAAAGCAAAGGAATTAAGATTTTTATTTCATTGTAAAAAATTCAAGAGCAATTTGAAGAAAAGAGAAAGTAAGGAAATTAGGATTTTCATCCTAATTGCAAAAAAAGAAGGATGATTGTTCTTCTAGTTTTTATCAAGAAGTTGTTATATAGGAAGGCCAGGTCCTCAAGTTCCTCAATTGGTGCGAGGGGATAACATTGATCCTGATTTGATATTATTGAAGGAGGAATATGCTTGGCATATAGGAGGAGCCCTTCCTCGCCAGGAGCTAGAGGAGTTGAAGCTTTTGTACCATATTGCTATTAATGGCCTGAGCTTCAGTACATTCTTGGGAAGCATATCGTGAGTAGCTTGCTCTCATTCATTAATATGATTGATATGTAAATCATCTGAGTTTTTTGGCACAAGAAGACTACTAATTGTTGCACTGACTAATTGTTCGAGATTTTCTACCTGCTCTTGACTGCCAAATTGAGTTGATTCTGATATATAGTACTCATTGGTTCACCATCTGTTCCTAATTATCAATTTCAGAAGTCAATTTCTTATCATGAACAGTCTAAATCTTTCTGCAAGGAGGTCTTGGGTTCAAATGTTTCATGGAGTATGGGTGCAGCAGGTTCAGGAAATGGCAGTCATTTCTTGCCAGCAGAGAGACAGCATAAGGCCAGAGGAGCTACATTCCCACTTTAACTTGAAAGGGGGGCTCCAGCCAGACTCCATTTCCTGTTATCAGTTTGTTTAGTTAAAATTACAAGAAGTTGTTTGTGCCAAAATAGTTGTATATAAGTTGATTGGTGCATGCATTTGTTGTATGTCTTGCTAATTTTCCATGGTGTCTTGATGTTTTGCTTTCTTGCTTTTTTCTTCTTTAATTTCTGTTTTTTTTTTTTTTTTTTTTACTGGAAAATAAATGCAGTGTAAATGATAGGTACTCTAATTTTATTTCAGTTTCTCGATTGCTGGAACTGTTTTTGTATGTAGGAGTGGGATGGGTAGTTATTCAATTGAACTGCAGAAATGATGAAGGTCCGACGATATCGATTGCTAAGGATAAAGAAGGCTACATATATGGAGGTTATGCTTCTCAACCTTGGGAGAGGCATGGTGATTTCAATGGAGATCTGAAGTCATTTCTCTTTCAGCTTTACCCAAAGGCATCAATTTTCAAGCCCACTGGAGCAAACAATCATGTACAATGGGTATGTTTCCATTTATTTTTATCTGTTGGGAAATAAAGGTAATAGTGCATAATCATCTTAAGAATATAGGATCATAGTCATCCCTATTGTTTTGATGCTGCAAATTCATCAGAAAAAAAGCTAGGATCCAAAAGATGAGTGCAACATGAATCTTATGGATTATAAAGGTCTTTAGAGTCCAAAAGATGTTTTACACCTCAAGCTTCATTTATGTGTGCTATATTCCTTGCATAATCATTTTTATCAGCTGGAGATAAAATAGAAATTTGTAGCAACAAGTTCAAATTAACAGGCTTGATAGTTCTATATATTTTTATCCGAACGTTAATCCATTTTCTATTTTTCCTGGAATTCAGACGTGAAAATGTTTTGATCGTAATACCAATTATTACATTATGGAAATAATTATATGCAATTACAATTAAGATTTGATCGTAAAGGATGCTTCAAGCTAGCATATATTTTGAATCTTTTGTCACTGCTTCTTCTCTTCTTAGTTTCCAGAATCAGCATACAAGTTGTTGACATGTATTTATTGATGAGCTGTTCTTCAGATTTGCTTAACAGGAGCCAGTAGTTCATTGTTATCTAAGTCTAACCTTTTTCGTATTTTATATGAAAGCAAGGAAGACGAGCTAGGTGAACTAGCTAGTAGGGTATTGTTTTGACATTAGCTAGACCTAGGTTAGGATAACTTTTTGTTTCTCTTGAGCCACTGCTGTATATACCGAATAAATACTTTATGGAGTTATTATATCAGCGGCCAAAAATCCCAATTACGACAAAAATTAGTTATTTGAAATTGTTAGTTATTTAATTACTCTTTTCTCTTCTTTTTTATTTTTATAAGAGACTGACTTTCTCTCGATAGATTTTGAATTTATTACTCATAGGAAGTGCAAAAACATCAAATAGATTTTAATTTTGTCATTTGCTATATCATTGAAAATTCCAACTTTCAAAGCAACATTGCAGACTAAAAAATTCATCTAATTAAAAACAGAAACTAATTAAATTTCGCTTTAAGGATCAAACCTGAGAACAATGCAGTAAAACAAACTTCAATAATCAACCCCAAGAACAATACACTAATATACATGACGTGAATTAATAAAAAAAAAAAATTAAATTACTCACATCAAATGACTCTTAGATTTGCTCTTGATTTGGATTCGTGATACGATACTTTTCTCTTCTCTTCAAATGGCTATTGAATTTTTTGTAATTAGAATGAAAACCCTAATTTATTTGCTTTCTCTTCCCTTCAAATTGTTCTAGATTTTTTTACAATGAAAATGAAAACCCTAATTCTCTTACTTTCTTTTTAATTTTTTTTTGGGGTTTTTAAATTCTCTTGTCAGATTATTTTTAAATCGATGTGCATCAGAAATTTTTATGATATAGGAGCTAAAGTTTATAAAGATGAAGTAATTTATTAGTTATCACTGGTTACTGTTTATGTATTATAAATTTTTTTCACAAAATACACAGGTTTAGACAATGACTTCTAAGCCTCGTTTCTAACTTTCATGAGTTACCTTTATGTTTCTTTTCAGTCTAATGCATTTTGGACTCCTATTAACCCATTTTGATTGCTATGGGCATTTTAGTATACGGGGAAAACGGGCCATTTTAGTGCAACCCGTTTCTTATCGACTTGTTCGGCGTGCTTTCCAAATGGAGTAAATTATGAATTAGTCCCTCTAATTTTACGAAACGATTTATTAGCCCTTTTTACATCCAAAAACTCTTGATTTCATTGTTTGCTTCACAAACCTTTTTAATTTGTTGGGCCCGAGCCAGATGTTGCTGAGTGTTGAGCCTGGATTGTGTTTGGACCTAGCGACCTTGTTTTGCCAACTCTCTTAATTTGTTGGACTACTCAAGCCTGATCAAATTTTGAGTAGCGAAATAAAATTTTAGGTATAACAGTGCCGAAATAATGTGGACTAAAATCACCCAACTATTTTGTAATTTATTGTTGTGTTATTTGGACTAAAATTACTATCAAAGACATAAACTCAATATTTTTATTAAGAAATGAAAATAATTTACTTAAAAAATATAAAAATACATGCATTGTTAAAATCAAAAGTCGAGGTCATAAAAAAAAAAAAGGGTTCAGAACATCATATAACATTTTTTAACCATTAGTATGAACACTATATATTAAGATAAAATATGCGCGTTTTGTGTTTTTATGATTTCAAATTTTTTAATGTTATTTTTATCTTTTAAATAAAATAAACAACAACCTTTTATCTCAAAAAGCATCCGTTTTCATGCTTTTTTAAATGGAAGCTAATTTACAATTGAACTTAATTACTTTTATAAAAATTATCTTTCACTCCCAAAAAATTAAGCAACTAAGTTTTAAATTCTAGTCAATTTTTTTTTTATATCTTTAATTGTTTTTTGTTTAAAGGAAAGTAGTAATTAAAAGTTAGAAAAGCTGGTGACAAAATAAGTTTCAAAATGACCTCAAAATTAATAAACAATTAACCTTATTTCTTGAAATCACAATAATGTTAGTATAAATTATAATTGTACAATCCTAAAACTCAACAACCAAATCCCCACCACACACACACACACACACACACACACACACACACACACACATATATATTCTTCAACTTTCAAATATTATACTATTCTAACAATCTCTCAAGCAGTTTTAAACTTGCATTTCTATCTAGTTTGAGTTTTTTTGCTTTTCAATTAGTATATGATTTGTTTTTTTGCCCGCGCTACATTGCGAGTTGAATAAAATATATAAAATCGTTTAGAGAAATTATTTCAATTTGATAATCTGTTTTATAGTGTGAATTTATAAAAATATATGAAATTAAAAGTGAAAAAAATATTTATAATTTTTTAATTAAAAATTTTGTATTTAACTATTTCTTATTTGTGTTTTTCATAATTTTTCCTTTAGAAAAAGGATTTATCCTTGTTAATCCATGGATTATTAACTAAAAATAAAATTAAATAATTTTTTTTATAAAAGCTTTAGTATTTTATAAGACTGGGTAAAAAAAATAAATAACAATTATTAAAATTTTACATAGAATTGAACAAATAAATTTTTTTATTTAATGTTGATGAGAATATCGGTTTTTGAAAAAATATATAAATTTAATTTTTATATATTTATTTACAAAAGAATGGATAATATTAAAATAAAAAAACTATATTAATTTGAATCATTGAGTGGTTAAGTCAAAACATTATTTTAATTATTTAATTCAAAAATAAATAAATAAATAGTAAATACTTAGTGTAGAAAAATAATATTATTATAATATGATCATAATATTAATAACATATGACTATATTAATAAAAGGACAAATTAAAGTAGTAAATTCTAAATAATAAAAATAATTAAAAGAAAATACTAAAACAAAATGAGACCAAATCACAATACAATTAAAGTTTGAAATTGAAAAAAAAAATACGAAAAAATTGAGGGCCAAAATGTTAAAAAATGACATGAGTAATGAAAGGAATAATGATTTATAAGTATGTGAATAGTGTTTTAAATAGTGAAAATGAATAGTAAAACCTTGTTTTACTTTAGTTTGTTTTAGAATGATCTAGAGATCTTTTTTTTGTCAAAGGGATAATTATTTATCCAAAATTATTTTTTTTCCATTTGGTGTTAATTTTTGTTTATGTTGTTAAAATTAATAAATCTTTTATTTTTTTCACATAAATGTATCCTTATTTATTAAAAATAAATAAATTTGAAAAATAACAAATTGTCACATGGTGTTAAAAATCTTTTTTTTTTCATGTTGATTTTTATTATTGTTATTATTTATTTATTTATTTATTTGTACATTAGGTTTCTCATGTGAGGACATCTTTGCCATTTTAGATGATAGTTTCTAAAAAAAATGGATTGAAAAAAATAAGCATAAAAAAAGGGTTTATAAAAGAAAGAAAACAGTTTAAAGAAAGGTATTGACATTTCAAAAATTTTCAAAAATATAATTAAAAAAATGTCACATTTTAAGACACACGATCATTGCTTTTACTTTTTGTGGGATAAATAAATTTTGAAAAAAGATAGAAGAATATCATTGATTGTTTAGGTCAGAAATAAAGGCACACATTCCAATGCCTCTGCGAACATCAATGTACTTCAAAAACTGTGCTTTTTTTTTTTTTTCCCTAAAATATTATACCATATTCTCGTATTAAATCTGCAATTTTATATTTGAGATATCTCGTATGCGAACAAGTTCAATGTTAAAACAATTTTATCAGTAAAATATGTACTTAATGCTGCAAGTTTTACGATCGGGAACCAGAAAGAAATCTGGATAATTAATTGTGGTTGATTTTCTTTGTTGGTAACAGAACTAAAATGAAGAGTTGCAGAAAAATTTTTTGCACTGCGCTCTGTTTCTTAGGAGTAATATAAAACTGAGTTTGGCCGATGCAAAGCCGAGTGACCATTTCCTAGTTACAAGGGTTCTTGAACGATCCACCTTTTAAACATGGCAAAACATTCTGCAGGCTTGTCCTCAGGAGCCGTGTGCCCTGCACCCTGCAAATTAGCCAAACAGTGAACTACAAAGTAATTTTAATTAATTGAATCCAATAATCTATATATATATATATATATTAAACATCCGTGTAACAAATGGAGAAATTCTGAATTCTTTACCATCACAGTGACAAATGTCAATTGATTAGAGTAAGTCCTCGTGTATCTGCGAGCTCAAGTCAAATATCCAAATCAGTCATTTTCTTTATCTAACAGGCTCTTTCCAGCTACAGGCAAGAGATAGAAAAGAGTTGCAGAATATTAGCAAATTAATCAAAACTAATATTTATGTGAAGGACGTACCCTGCAACTTGACCGTGAGAGTGCCATGGGCGCCAGTCATCAACAATAGAGTAATTTAACGACCTTATCCATGCTTGAGTTCCCAAGAATGGTATCAGCATGTCATGATCGCCACTAACCAATTAACGGAGAGAGTATATCAACCTCAGGGGAACAAGATACTACAGCGTCAAAGTCAATTAATTAACAGAAGAAATACATTGGTTTACCTGTAGATTAATCTGCGATAACCTTTTATCGCAAGGTCTATATGATACTTAATGCTGCTATGAATTTCACGAGTGTAACTAAAATTGCATCGCTGCCACTCCCCTAT